TTAGGTGGTGGTTTCTCACCCTTCCAAGGGTGAACCTCTAGGTGTAACCTTCCGCTCAATACTAGAATCGATAAATGAAACGAGGCAGTAGCCTCCAGTATTAAGCTCTGTAACTATTTTAATGGCGAAAAACTCATTTTCAGACCACAACACATCTCCAAAACACCCAACAACAACATTATGGCATCAAGACATCATCATCACAACATTATAGGCACAAAACAACACATATATCTCTATCACAACATTATATACCAACACACATCAATATTCACAGAACTTAGGACAAAATAGTAAGTTTTGGGCATCATGGGTTATACCTTGAGATTGCTAGCTCCTAGTATGAATCCATCCTCATCTTCTTCAACTATGGCTACTTCCTTCACCTCCTATCAACCCCCAACCAAGAACATAAATAACACACATCATACACAAGCATATACATACATCAGGCTAATAAAAGAAGAAGAAGAAGATGATGAATGGAAGAACCAAAAAGAAAGGAAAAAGAAGGAAATATACTCACAGTAGTGTCTTCCTTGAATAAATGAGTTTCTCAGGAGATTGAGTGAGGGAGTGAAAGGGAAAGATTGATCTCAAGCAATGAAATAGTGTCTTATTTATAGGCTCAAAACCCTAGGTGATATTTTGGAGGGGATGAACGGGTAAGGGAGGGTATTTGGGATTTTGGGTCATTTTGGGTTTTTAAATTATAAATTATAATTTTGGGTCAACAGTTGGGTCAAGTTCGGATATAAATGCAATATAAATTTTTAGAAAAAGATTGGGTTCATTTCGAGGCCAAATTTTGAATCAAACACTACAAGAATTAAGACATTTAGTGACAAATTTTTTGTGACACTTCGTAATTTAGTCACAAATAATACCCTTTGTGTGACTAAAAAAAAGTTCAACACTATTGCTTATGATAATTGTGACAATTGTTTTTTTGGTCACAGATACTATGGTAATTGTAACAACTAAGTATTTGTTATAAATAAGTTGTCACTATTACTAGAATGATAGTGTCATAACCTAAGTTGTCACTATTTGTTGTCACTAAATGTATGTGTATTTTGGCGACATTATAATTATAGTGGGAACGGAAGTAATTGTGACAAAATATAGTGTGGCACACAAATTTTGGTACTTTTTTGTGACAAATAGTTGTTGGTCACTCTATCTTATATATCTGTGACAACCCTTTTTGTCAATAAAAATACACTTAGAAAAATGAGATACAATTGTGAGAAAAAATTTATTGTCACTCATATTGTCAATTTTTTATGAAATTGTTACAAATATTTAATTTGTGACGCTCTATTATTTCCTAACAAAAATTATTAAATTGTAACAGTAATTTGTGTTGAATTCAAGTTTTGTCACTAATGTTATGATAATTGTGACAAGTAATTATTTGTTACGATGATTTTGTCACTATAATTAAATAGATGAATATTGTGTGAAGTGCTGTTATAGTCAATATGTGCCACTAAAATTGCATTCACGTTGGTGCCAAAGTAATTTGCTGTGAACTAAATATTAAATATTATGGTCAATTAAAATGCAACTAGTTAGTGATTCTTAAAATAATTGTAATTGCGAAAATTAAATACATTTTATAATTTCTCCTTTTTTTACTTTCTTTTTGTGACATATAAGTTCATTATCATTTATGAAAGTTGTCTAACAAACAATTCTGCAAGTTAAATTGTTTCAATTCATTATAATACAAATGTTAAAAAGCTCATACTTATTACTAATTGACTTTAAGAAGGATATGATAACAGATAACCGATGAACTCCAAGGTTAAGCGTGCTTGACTTACAAGATGGGTGACCTATTGGGAAGTAAGTATAGTGCAACGTTAAAATCAATCAATTGGTATTAGAGTTGAGGTCACAAGTTCGAATTGATCCAAATGGGCCGGGCGTAGGTCGAGCCATGTCTAGTCCCGGGACAGGGTGGGGGGTGCTGGATTGTTGGGGGTCGACCGGGTTGGCCCCAAGTTCAGTCTAATTATTGGTTACAAACTTTTAGGTCACTAATTCTAAAAAATAAATACGATTATTGTGACTAAAGTGTTGTTACTAGATCATTTTTTTGTAATGACATATTTGGTCACAAAATGTAAATTTATTGTGACCCATATTGTTATCACTCAAATAGTACTTTTAGTGTAACTAAAATTTGTCACAAAGTCTTGAGTAATTGTGACGACTTTCTAAAAGTCGTCACTATTACAATAGTGACGGAGGATATAGTGACAATAGGTGACAACTTCAAAAATTGGTCACTAATAAAATTAGTGACCAAAATCGATTGGTTTGGTGACAACTTGTGTTGTCACTAAATGCGAAATTTCATGTAGTGAAAACTAGTTTATCAATTCTTCAGGTTTGTCTCAGATAGACTTTTGGGTCAAGATTTTGATAAATAAATATATACTTTAAATAAGATTTTCAAAACCATAAATAATTATATAAGTACTTTATATTAACTCATTTGAAATAGAGAATTTAAAATAAAAATAAAAATAATTTTGTGCATTTGGTAAAATTATCGTAGGAATAAAATTATATTCAAAGTTTTATTTTGAAATTTAATAAAATAGAAATTTCGGAGGAAAATATTTTGAGCTGTCACATTCTACTCCCTTAAAAACAAGCTTCGTCCCCGAAACTTTGGCCTGTTAGAATAGAGAAGGTTCTAATGGAGTTTCTTTGAAAACACAATTTGAGAATTATTGCCAAAAGGATTCTAGGATATCAAGGAGATAGTAAGAGTTGCAAATTTAACTTAGGAAAGATCCAGGATCATTTGAAATGGTGACTAAGAATATCATGCAAGCATTTAAAATCTAATCACAACTAAATTCCAATTACTAAATGGAATTTGCTAAAACTTAAAGAGACTTAAACGATTACATTGACCAAAGTTTCACGGTGCGCCACTATGGAACACAAAACTTGGATTCAATTCTTGTTGAGCTGCTCCCAGAGAATTATCTATTCCAAGCCTATTTTCAATGGCGTAATTCTTTGATTTAGGGAGGTGAATTCTTGGTTTATCTGCGTGCTCAATGCACCAAATCTTTGCTCCACAACATCATGTAGCTCTCCGATAGCTAGCATTCTCGCCCTTTCCTGGTTCTTTCCCAACGGGTTGGCGCTTCCTCCTCTTCTACGGGTACAGTCTCTTCAGCCTCCAAGTCTTGCTCATTTTCAGTTCTATCCTCCTCTTCCCTCTTGCTATCTCTAGTTTCAATCTCAACACCGAAGCTTTGGAATTTCTTATAAGGGATCTCTAGTCTATCAACAAGTGTTTTAATTTCCTCTCACCGGGAGGCAACTCACTAATTTTTCAAAGTGTAAGATACTTCCGATCTTCAACTTATATATATCGTAGTATCTGTAAGATACCCTTTTCCTTCTTATTATCTCTAGTTTCAACAAGATGACGAATTTTTCGTTCAGCAACTCCATTTTGTTGAGAAGTTCTAACACATGAAGATTCATGAAGTATTCCATGTGAGGAAAAGAAAGAAGTGAAAGGGTAAAAAAAAAATACTCTCTTGCATTATCACTGCGTAAGTTTTTGAGAGATACCCCAAATTGATTCACAATTTCATTGTAGAATTTTTGAAATACATCAAATCATTCAAAAAGATTTTTCATTAAAAAGACACAAGTACACCGAGAGAAATCATTAATAAAAATAACAAAATATGAGAAACTCAAAGTGGATGAAACTCGACATGGTCCCCACACATCAGAGTGAACTAAAGAAAATGGGGTATTGGCCCTCTATTCACTCTACTAGGATATGGGGCTCTTGAGTGTTTCTCAAGTTGACATGATTCACACTCTATGATTTTTAAATTTGAGAAACTAGGAACAAGTTGTCTTAATTTATTGAAATCACTGTGTCCCAAGCGACAATGGTTAAGGAAAAGTGGAACAATAATAGTGCAAACTATTTTGGTAGAACATAAAAGGTGGTAGAGACCTCGTGATTCATATACTTCACCAATTGTCTCCTTTGTTTGACAATCTTGAATGATCACAGAATCAGAAGAAAAGATAACAAGGCATTTAAGAGAGTGAGTAAGCAGATTGATTGAAATCAAATTGAAGGGGACACCTAGGAATGTAAAGGACCTGGAATAAAGATAAAGAATGAATGGTAACTTTTTCAATTCCTATAGTCTTTCCTTTTGACCCATCATGAAAGTAACAGCAGGAAGAGAGTATAAAAATCAATATGGGGAAAAAAAAAAAAGATTACCGAATGTGATCAATTGCTCCAGAATCCAAGACCCAAACTGAGTCTGACTTTAATGCAAGAGCAGTATGAGTCTGATTTTTGGCCCAAACAGACTTTAGTGCGTTACTTGAAATTTTATGTTCTGCCATAAGTGTCAAAAGAAAGTGAGAAAACCACTGTAGAGTCGGAGGAACAAGGCAAGCTGATCTGAAAATTTTGGTCAAAAAAGGCTGCCGAAAAATGCTACACGCGCCAGCGTATGGCGTCAAAGGGCGATCTTCGTGGTGGGGCGTGCAACGATTTTAAGGTGATCGAACAAGTTTGCACAATGTCGCCGAAACTCCTTTTGAAGATATCGCCGAAACTCCTTTTGAAGATACGTGCCACCAAATTCGTGAAGAAAGCTCTTAGTTTGAGACAATATAGAAAAATGTTGATGAACAATGTTTTTAGTAAGTTCATCTGAAAATTTGCAAGCCCCACAAAAAAGGTTCTAATACCATATTGAACTAGAAGGGAAAAAGGAGAAATGATGTTTATTATAAGCTTCATCTTGAGCTACAGATTGATTACACACCAAATATATAGGCAAAAAGAAGACATTGGAAAAGAACACAATAAATGCTAAACTACCCAAGACACCTAATCCTCTTCTCAAGGTAATTTTAGGCTGCCCAAGACAAGGGTTCCCAACACAAAGATGTTGCAGTAACATTGCAAGGTAATCTCATAATTTGAACCAAAAAAAGTAATCTAACATTACCATACATTACCTAGGTAATCCTTAACCAAAGGCCCCTAAGGTATCTTTATTATGTGAAATGAAATTCTCACCTGTTGTAAGCAAGAAAGCAAAAGAGTGAGACCCAATGATACAACAAAGATATTAACCTAAAAACAAAGTGATCCAATCAGAGAATCAACTCTTTGAACCTCACTAAAATTAACCATATTGGCAGCAATAGTCATTAGCAAGCAGAATAGAATTTCAGATGTTGTGCCAACTCAAAAGAAAGGTGAACCACAACAATCTGCAATTGAGATTATCTTGTTTGTCAGTCTTCATGGTCTGCGGGGCTGTTGTTGTGTGATACAATGTATATTTCCACCTCCCAACACTATCTCCCTTGCACCTTCGATTCGTACTACCTGAACCAAACAAATTTATTTTTTTTACAAATCAGATGTTAAGTTCACCAAATATATATAAGGATTCTCATTTATGTCAGAGATATTGCACTTGACAAACTGATTTCAGGGTAACAACATATAATCAAAAGAAATATCATTCTATATTCAATCTATGGGGGTGATTGCAGTTTCACTTAACTCATGATCGGGAAATGCATGTGACAGGACCCGAACTGCTTCATCATCCCACTTGTCTCCAAATTGTGGAGTGATGATTGCCCCATTTGCAATGTAGAAGTTTACATATGAAGCGGCAAGCCTTGTACCTGGAACTCTTGGTTTACCATCACCCTATTTTCAGAATGGTAGTTCCTAATTAGTAACAGAGAGAATAAAAAGGGCAGGAAAGATGATTCATTTCAGAGTTTTAATTAAATGTTCACGCTTTAGTTCTCCGAGTATCATCCTACTATGTAAAGATGGCATCTTAGGTGTTTAGGATGGAACCCACTATAATGACACCGTACACCAAAAGCAAAGAGTGTTAAGGTGTGTTTGGTTCGCACATGGGAATCCGAATCGGAATGGGAATCAAATACTTGGTAATGGTATGGGTTTTGGTGAAAGTATTTTACATGTTTGGCAGTAAGGTGGAATTCGAATGATTACCAATATTGATGTTTGGTTATGTATGACCCTATAATGAGAATAAAGTTTTCAAAAATACAAAAACAAAAAATCATGGCAATTGATCCTAATATAATGACATCCAAAGCACCAATATGAAGTTATGAACAAAAGAAAATCAAAACAAAAATCTAAAAGCACTAATCCAAACTTAAAAATCATATTACCAATAAGATGGAATGAGACCTTTTTAAATTAGGGAATAGAGTTTTTAATTGAAGGGGTAATCAAAATCCCATAGTTGTGTTTTAAAAAGTTGTCAACCAAACAGTAACTACGATTTTGATTCCCATTCCTAGTGTATAAACCCATGAACCAAACACACCCTTAGTTACCTCAGCCAATCCATTTGCCTCCTCTTCTGTCATATAGAGAGGACCAGGTACATGGAGTTTGATCACCTGCAATTTTCTACCCTTAGCATCTGTGGAATTTTCAAGAACAGTAAGAGCTTCCAAGGATCTTTCATGCTGAAGGTCACACTTGTCATCAGTCCAAGACAACAAAACGACACCAGGCTTCACAAAACAACACATGTTATCTATATGACCATTTGTATCATCATCACCTGCAATAAAGCGAAAAAGGGAATAAAGAGAAAAGCATCAATTTTCTTTCATTTTGTTGTTAAGAGGCCCTATAGGCTAAACTTTTACGCCAGTTTAGTTCCAGAAAATTTCAAAAATTTTCAAAGTTTTCATTTTCAATTGGAAAATTAGAAATTTGTTCAAATTCATTAATTTCCAACTTCTAAAATATGAAGTTACTTAATATTTGAAATCTAATTGTTTTCTTCATGTAAAATACCAATGCCTGTAATGTGAAAACAGTATATAGTAATGGTGGTGGTTGGGGTAGGTGAGTGGTGGTAACTGATAAGGCATAGGCAGATGGGGGTTAGGCTAGCTAAATAGTGGTGGGTGAAAATAAGTCTTGATAGTAATGGAGATAGTGGTGGCATTTAGGTAGGTGGTAGTAGGGGTAAGTATGCATATAATGGTGGGTAGAAGTAAGCCTGTTTGGTTGGAAGTAATTTAGCTGTAGTTGAATTGCAATTCAGCGGAAGCTACAATTACGCCGTTTGGTTGGAGGGAATTGCAATTCCCTCCAAATGCTGAATTCTAATTCATAACTCCCCCCTAAGAATTGGAATTCGGTGCTGAAGTGGGGGAAATAAGCTACTGTTAAGACATTTTTACCCCTCTATATACTGTCTCATTAGCTGCGCTCTCCTCCACTCATTAATCTCATTCTCATCTCCTGTTTTAAAAGAGCTTCAAACTTCAAACCACAAGGCTGCTGCAGGTATGCAAATTCTATATACTTTTTATTTTCACACTTTACATAGTTTAGTTTTAATACAAAAACTTATTATTATTATTATTATTATTATTATTATTATTATTATTATTACACAAGGGCATTTCAGTCATTATATCACTTATTCCCTTTCAATTCCCTGTAATCCTATTCCTGCATACCAAACACTGTAATTTGAATTCCTACCTTATTCCACCCTATTCTTCTCCCACCGAATTACAATTCTTTTCCCCCCTAATTCCTTCCTTCCAACCAAACAACTTGTTAAACGATAATGATAATGAAGCTAGTGGTGGTGGTGGTGGATGTGGGAGGGTAGGTCTGGGTAGGGATAGGTAAGGGGTGGTGGGTATATACATAGTAGGGGTAAGTAGGTAGAAGGCGTGGGAGTTCATAGGTACTGGTAATGGTGAATCATAAGTGAAGCTGGGTTTGTTTGTGTTTAGAAAAATTCAGTTTTCAACCAAAAAAATAAAAATAAATGAAAATGGTGAAAGTGGAAAATTGTTTCTTGTTTTCTATTTTTCCAAAACAACTGGGGAAATCTCCAGTTACTAAACAGTCTTAAGCAACTAAAATAACTAATAATAAACCAAAACAATGAAATAATGAAAAATGATCTCTTATTCTAAGCCCTTTGCAGTATCAAACCACTGCAAATGGTTTGAACTATGCTTTTGATTTTTATAGTTTGAACTCCAGCCATCCATTCAGTGTTAACAATACAAAAGCATCGAGGCATGGGAATATGCTGATCAATCACACAGTAAATAGTTAAGCAATATACCATATAACCCACGAGGTAACCAAATAACCTTGCTGACTCCAAGATATGCTTTAAGTTCACTCTCAGTTTCTTCCTTTGTCATATCAGGATTCCTGTTTTTATTCAAGAGACATTCTTCTGTGGTGAGGCAAGTACCTAGAGGAAACACAAATTTTAAGTAATTAGCATGCAAAACTCATCATTAAGTCACCTTCCTGGCAAAGAGAGAAGGCTACGTTTCAGAACTAAAAAGAATTCTACAAGAAAGCACAGATTTACCTTCTCCATCAACGTGAATGCTTCCACCTTCAAGAATCATACTCTGAGGGAACCTTGGGAACCTTTCAATGCTCAAAATCTGAGATGCAAGGATATAAATCAATATACCAAAAAGTTGAATTTGAAAGATCCAAAGCCCTGGCGGGTGGAGAATAACAACCACCCGCCAACTAGGCAGAAGCAAAGATGAAGAATCTAGGAATGAGAAAATATATATAATACTGAAAGGTTACAATATATTTCTATAATTCTATGTTTCTAATGAAGAAACATAGTACACACACACACACACACATATATATATATATATAGGGAGAGAGAGAGAGAGAGAGAGAGAGAGAGAGAGAGAGAGAGAGAGAGAGAGACATAACTGTTAATTTAAGCACCTATTCATAAACAGACATAACCCTATAGACAGGCACAACCATTTGTTTTTCAACAGAGGAAACCAACTTGCATTGTGTTACAGCAAGGTTGCAGCATAGATTTAGATCTAAGCATACCTTCCTTGCAACAAGAAGGTCCTGACTCCAGTCTGCATAACATCCATCTTCGATTCCTGGGATTGAATCAGCAACTAAACTTAATGTTTTGAAACTTTGAAAAAGCAATATGATATATATCATGCATAGCAACTCTTAACTGTAGATAACTATATAATGCATTGACACGTATTAAATCGGAGGATCCTACACTCAATTGGCTGATAATATGACAGCCATAGAAAACTTTGACAGGACAGAAACACAAAATTCATGACCAGCATTGCAAGTATAAATTTGAAGGCATACCTCCCCAGCTATTGAAGGTCCAGTCAATCCCTGCAACACTTGGCTCAAGATTTTGAGAACTTTCTGCACCTTTTCTGATAACAAACTGCATTCATTGAAGTGACTGTAAAATGGTAACTACATTTCATAAAAACTAACTGATCCAACTAATGAAAATGACGATATAATAAATTAATTAATTAAAACATGTTGACAAAAGAGGAACTGACAGTTGGACCAGTGTCACGAAACCAAGAATCATTCATGCTCATCTCAACAACCCTGATATGTTTTGGTAACTGATCACGTGCCTTGCTCCACTGTCCATAGGGCATACAATAGTAATTAAAATGAGTAAGTACAAGGGTTCATAAAAAGGATCTCAACCTCTCTTATATACACCAGATTACTAACCTGAGCGGAACTAGCACAAACAGTGACATGTTCAAATCTTGAGATAGCCTGTGCTACACTAGCAAATACACGTTGACCATGCACAGCATTGTCCCTCCAGTTATCTGGGCGTTCCTACAACTCGAAGAAGAAAAAAAGGTATAACTGCAGAGTGAAGAAAATCCATACTATCATCACAACAAGGTTTATACAGTTAAAAATAATAATAATAACATGAGAAACCAGAGTATTTGTTTATTTCCTTGGTAGGTCAGAAGTTGCACTACATAGAAGATTAGAAGGGGAAGAAAATATTGAACTGGGACCCGAAGGCTTGCAGAACAGGGCTCAAACTAGCAGTAGACATAGTAAAATGCCTTATAAGAAAATATTTTGGAATTACTTACAAAACGGAATTATGTATAAACAGATTGCAAATCCAAGTGAAAAACTGAGCAGATTAATTGTCACAACATTTGCTGTTGATAAAATTTAAAGTATCAACTTTCCCATTAACTTAAAGATTTAGCTCTGTCCTGTAGTGAGGATTTTAAAAGAAATAAACTGTGCGTTGGTGAATTCTATTGGAGCTGTGCATTGGAGAATAGTACCACACCCCAAAAGGTGCCATTGCAATTAGTAACTGTTGGAGTTATTCAGCTAAATGACATCACAGATTCACAGGAATGGGCAGCTCCAGAATTCTGTGAAGGGAGATCCAGTAGCTGTTGTTGTAATAATCAGACTTATTGTTTAGCTGTGGATTTGAATATAATTTCTCTCCTTTCTTCTATTATTTCTCCCGTTTCTTCCAAGATTTCTTCCCCGATTTATGAGCTTACCAGTGTGTTGTGTTACACCAAGCTTAGGCCTCATCAAGATATAACAAAAGTATAATCGTTCCTGCCATCCTTAATCCAGAAATTCCAAATAACCCAGGAACACAAATCCATTAACCAAGATCTTCATATCAAAATAAACCTCAAACAAGAGTTCAGACATCAGGGAAAGAAAATCTAGCCAAAACATCATAGCAAACACAACAAGCGGCGCAAAGCACAGTACAGAAAAGGAAGAAAGAAAGAAATAGTAATAGAAATTTTACCGGCCAACCGATCCAGCACTGGGAATGGGGCTCCCACTCAGCAGGCATGCGATAGCCATGGTCAATCGGCTTTCCCTTCAAATCCATCTGCTTCCTTCAAATTCTCAGTACAAATGCAGTTATCTCTTTTGCTGCATTTTAAAGTACTGAAACTGTGAAACATATATCAACAAGACAATATAAAATTAATTAAAGTACTGAAACATATATTTACCTGATTGTGGATGGACTGCGACGGAGATGCTTGGGTGTGATGCCGGAGACGTCGTTTCTGGGAATTCTGGAGCAGCGTCACTTCTACGGTTGGCGGACCGCGGAAGAGAGGAAGAGGTAGTGAGAACCGAATCTGGAGTGATCAAAGCGGTGACAGGTATTAATGGAAGATTCTCTGTACCTTCTTCTCCCAGATTCTTTTTTTTTTTTTGCAAACTCTTCTCCCAGATTCTCAGTACCTTGATTCGGTAAATTATTGTGTGGAAGATACCATGATTTTTTAATATATTAAAAGTATATTATTTTTTATTGAAAATACATTATATAAAATAATATACTCTTAGTATATAAAATAATGTATTCTTTAAGAGCGTTTGGTTGGAGGGATTTTAAATTCTCTTCCACTTAATTTCCACCTAATTCTAAAAACCATTAAATTCCGTAGTTTGGTTGGAGGGAATTGCAATTCCATGGAATTGCAATTCCCCCATTTTCATGGAATTAAAATCGAGTTAATACCCAAAATGGTCCTTGACTATAGTAATTTTTCTCAATTTCGTCCTAAACGACTTTGGTGACCTAATATAGTCCCAGACTTTTGTGTTTTGCTCAATTTAGTCCTTCGTTTGTTATTCTATTAAATTGGTGTTAAATAAATGGACAATTCAATAATATCACTATTGACCTTTTTTTACTTTCAATCTGCCAAGTAAGAAATCCCTCTTTCTTGTACGAATTACACCCAGAATTACTCCCAGACATACGAATCAAATTTTATATTCGCAGGTTTAGGAGTGATTCTGGAAGTAATTCGTAAAAAAAAAAAGAGGGATTTTGCACTCCACATGTCTATGAGTAAAGAGATAACAATATTAAAATTACTGAATTGTCTATTTATTTAACAACAAATGAACGGAATAACAAATAGGAGATTAAATTGAGCAAAAACACAAAAGTCTAGGACTAAATTAGGTAAAAACACAAAATTCTGGGACTACATTAAGTCACCAAAATCGTTTAGGACAAAATTGAGAAAAACCACTATAGTCGAAGACAATTTTGGGTATTAACTCAATTAAAATCCCATGTCCCCTCTTGGTATTTTAATTCCTGAAAAAAAAATAGTGATGAATCAAAATTATCCCTTCTTTTTTTAACCTAAAATTAATGTCTAACAACAATAATGGACATTTTTGACTTTATACTACTTATTCCCTTTCAATTCTCATATATACCAAACATTGGAATTGAAATTCCCAGTAATTCTATTCCTGTCAACCAAACACTGAAATTTAAATTCCCACTTTATTCCCAGTAATTCAACTCCTATGGAATTACAATTCCTTTCCCACATAATTCCCCCCTCCAACCAAACGGCGTGTTAGTATATTAAAAATGTATTTTAGAAAAAATGTACTTACGTACATAAATATTATACCCTTAGTATATTAAAATATATTTTTATTTATGATTCACACAATTGTGTGGACCATGGTCCATGCAATAATGATTGTTTTGATTCCTACATGTCTGATTCTATCATTTTATAGTCCGGGCATGTAAAAAATAAATAAATAAATAAATAAATAAATAAATAAATAAATAATAATAATAATAATAATAATAATAATAATAATCTGTACAAAGTTAACATATATTTTAAATAACTTTAAATAAAAATAAAAATTTGTCCAAAGTTAACTTGTCTCATTCGCCTATTTTCTATAGAGAACGCTCGTGGTGCTTTATTTTCAATGGTCCCGGACAAATCATCGGGTCTTTGATGGTTTTAGCTCGGGTTTTTTCAACACTTTTAGAGCGAGATACGTAATTATGTGGCTCAATTCATGATTGGCTGTGCAAATGGGATCGATTTTTCTACCGGTTTTAATTATGCAATTATTACTCAGGTTCCTAAGAAATCAGCGCCAACCACAATGGGAGACCTGCGACCAATAGCACTTTGTAATGTAGTGTACAAGGTTCTGTCGAAAATGTTGGTGAACCGGTTGAAGGAAGTCCTTGAGAAAGTGATTTTTGATTCGAGAGCGCATTCCTTACTGGCCGGTTGATTACAAATAATGTGCTTGTTGCCTCCGAGGTTATTCACTACTTAAACCGCAAGAGGGAGGGCAGGGAAGACAGGTGTAACAACCCAAAATTTTATTTTATAATCCAATTTTAAGAAATTCCAAAATAGTCATTTTCACTCCATTAAAAATTTTTGCGATCAATTGGTGCTTGAATAAATTATTCTTGTCACATTTTAAATTAATTCGACACCAAAATTTATTTTATTCGAAATTCCTAAATTTTCGGGTACTTCGCGTACCAAGTTTTATATCGAGAAATCAATCTTAGTGAAACCGGGGGAATTCAAAAAGGACTTTAAACAAGGGTTCATCTAAATATTTTTTGGAAAATTCATTTTAACCCCAAAGTATTTAAAATAGCATTTTGAGCCTTGGTCCATGGAGCAGGGTGGACCACTAGATATCCAAAATCCTTGCCTGATTCAATTTCTAGCCAATGGAAATTACATTTTTGCCATCAACCAATCATATGGGATCAACCTAGGGTTTTGTGCTCCTATAAATAGAACCCTTATTAGCCATTTGCTTCTTTGATTCCACTCCTTGCTTCCCATTTATCAGCTTTGCAATTCAAGAAGACAACACAGTAAGCTTCTTCAACCTTCTTCATTCAATCCTAGCCTTCCATTTCCTTAAGCTTCTTTCTTCTCTGAGAACTTGATAGTATGTTGATGTATGGTTTGTTTGAGGTATCTAGGAGGTGAAGGAGGGTGTAGCTAGCTTGAGAAGAGGGGGAATCCATACAAGAAGAATAAGCTACAAGAGGTATAACCCCATGGATTCCTTCTTTAACTTTGGCTTTGTGAAGCCATGATATTGAGTAGAAATGAATAGAAATTATGAGATTTTGTTGTGTTTTATGCTTGGAAGTGATCTAGTATTTGTCTTTGAGTTATTAAGAATGTTTTGGACTTGTTTGGATTGAATTTGCAGATGAAAATATCATCTGGTGCACACACAGTGTGCACCAGACCAGACCAGCGGCCCTAGCCGCGGTCCATCAGGAGGGCCGCCGGCTAGAGCCGGAGTTACACGGGACTAGGGCATGGCCCTAGAGGAGGGCGCCGCCTAGTCCCGGTATTGTAAAGGGGCACATGAGGAGTCACGCCCTAGGTCCCTGAGTTTTGATCTAGGAGAATTTGTGCAGTGGCCGGGCCCTTGTGGCTCAGCTACGTGTCGTTTCGGGCCAGGTGTCACGGCCCCATGTGGCTTGGGATCGACTCGACGCACGTTTTGGCTTTGATTTCGTGGAATTTGGATAAAAAATGAGTATGTTATGAAGAATTTGTTGATTGATTTGCTACGCAGTACATATTTTGCTAGTTCACTGTATATGAGAAATACTTGATTATGTGATCTGATGATATCTTTGGTTTGAGTAGAGGAACATTATCACTTTAAAAATATGATTCATTATTATGAGAGCATGACTAGAATGTGATATTTGATCAATGAGAATTGAAGCATATTTTGTTGGTAGAAATGTATAGAATTCACTATGTTGCAAACCGAGCATGATATTATGTCCTTGAGTATTTTATGGTTTATATACATGGTTTAGTAGCATGTTATAGAGTGTTTTGGCATTTTACATATGTCATATTTCAAAAATGCATAAGGGGCCAACGTGAGCCCAAGTATTACTTTCAAAAATCCATAAGCATGTGGTACATCATTATTTGATGCATTGAGAAGTTGAGAAGTTGTTGCATGCATGAGTTTGATGCATGAGAGATATATTTATGTATTATCTATATTGGTGAGGTTTTGGAGGATACCGTTTGGACTATGTCTTCTCGGGAGATATTTATGGACATTGCGGTTCCAGTACATGTAACGCGGTGTATTCCCAGCTAGCCAGCCAAAACACACACGCAGAGAGCAGTCTAACAGCCAATAGACAACCAAGTAAACAGCTTCTTAAAGAGAGAACAATGCAAAAAGTTCTTCCCGTAAGGATCAAGTCACTATGTAGACTTAAAAGTTCTGATACCACATGTAATTTTGCATTTCCTCAGTTTAGGATTATTAATAGAGATTATCAACTGATATACTGGATTGACTGACTCAGAGGCTTGATTTGTCAGCCATCCAGTTAGTATGCAGATAAGATTAAAGCTGAAGACTAAGGCAGAAAATAAATCAACACAAACGATGTTTACCCAGTTCTAATGTGTATCTACATCTGGGGGACGATCACCGAGGCGTCCAATCCACTAACTCATAATCCAATGTACAAAGGTAGAAAAACAACAATCTTACCCAAGTGCCCCACACAAGGTACGTACCCAATCTACAAAGGTTTAGTGGATTGTTGAAGTCGGAGAGCCACGCATGCAGAAGTCCAACAAAATCCCTTCAATTGGAGAGCTAACTCTGATGCAGTCTGCTTCAATGACGCAGTCCCACGTTGTTCCCACAATTGAGTGATCTTCGCATCCTTTCGTTTAAGCAACGTTAATTCTTCTCAAGTTCTTCATCATAATCACCAAGAACTTAATATCTTGAGAAGACACATGATAATCAAAGATATGTGTTCCTACGTAGCATTGAGTGTTTTTGTCTTCTTAAAAGCCATAACCCTAATTCTTGATCGAATGAGGATACTTATACTTCCTTGGTAAGAACACTTTCCAAAAATATCTTTGATTGTAAATGGTAAGACGATTCGTGAAGAATGCAATCTTTAAGATTCGGTCCATACCTTCCACGTTGATCCGCTGATATTCTTTCCAAAACTGTCTTCATAAACCGCGTTCAGCATTTTGGAAACATCTTCCTTTAACAGATCTTCAGAGGCAATGCGTCTGTTGATGATACTGATCAATCATTCTTCTATAAGAACAAACAGACACCAAGCTAAACCCTATCTTAATTTGCCATAATAATATTGCCAATTATATGTTGGGGTTTTGAACAAAATAAAACACTAACAAAAATATATAAGAAATGAAATGTGGGACCACTGCGGGAAATCTTTGATTTTTCGACTACCTAAAAAATGGTCGAAAAGGTGTCATTTTTTTCAATTTTTCGTCGAAGGATTATGATTAGAAAATAGGT